TTTTTCTTTCTTTTTGTCGAATTTTGGATGACCATCCGACGATGTGACGCCCAACCTCACGCCCGGCGCGACTTCCTGATCGGAGTGGGATGGGGGCCTGGAAGTGCGAAAAAGGGTGTGCCAAGGATTTTAGGAAAGTGGGGGTGGAGTCCCAGGTCGGAACTGAGATCTCCTGTGCCAAGGATTTTCGGAAAGTGGGAGTGGAGTCCCAGATCGGAGTGGGATGGGGCCCGAAAAGGGGTGACCATTCGAGTATAGGCGCAAAAGGGGGTGTACTCAGAAGGGAGGTTGTTGATGTCGTGCAGCATAAGACAGATGGCATGCGCAGTGCATCTTAGTCTAAAGATCCGGGGCACTTTCCCGCTATCGCCGTTCCGATAGATCTAAACACTCTTGCATTCTCGAACAAAATCCCAACAACATTGCCCCTGCCAACGAATTCAACTTCCGAGCCGAAAGGAAATGGGAATCACCATCTCCTCTGGTTTTGCCTTCGTGGCCGGTTGTGCGGCTCAATCAGTCGTCGGCGCCCCTCGGCTTCAGGTCGAGCTTGCCGATCGAATTTCGAGGCTCGATAGGCCTGGTGCCGCCGACACTTGTCGCACGGTCTGCGAGGCCAATAGCGGGCTATGGAATTCCACGGCACCATCGCGAGTTGGTGATATGGAACGAGGAGGTGGAAGCGATGGGAGCTGGTGGTAATAACGACGAAACCCAGGGATATGAAATCATGCGTGTTGTAAGTATCCGGGTAATCGGGACCCCTAGGATCGTTAGCTATGGCACAGTGAAAGTCCCTTGCGCACAATCAATCTCTTTCTATCAGACAGGGGAATTCCGGGTTTCCCCCGTCGTCTGAGTTGTTCACCTTCCCAGTATTCATGGTATTTCGGGTCCCTCAGACTCTCACGATCAGTCATCCAAGCGGGAAACCGCAGCCATATCCGTTTAGAAGGCTTGCTCCCCTGCATTCTCATACGGAGCTCCGGGCTGGCTCACGTGGGCGAGCGCGTACGTAGCGACTCGGTTTCCTCGAGATTGCGGTCATACGCGAGCGTGCACGTGGGAAACAGAGGTGTCGGCCCGAATACCCTTACAAGGGTATTCGGGCACATTTTTGCAGCTTACAGGAAGAGCGCGCTGGGCGATATCTGAGGGCGCGTCCCATTTGTATTGGTTAGAGAGTATGTGGGCGTGCAATTTGTGGGCACGCGTTAGCCTGACCGAGTCTGGATCGGGGAAGACCATGAGATACCGGTAGGACAGGTCAGAGTTAAGCTCGATTTTTTGAGGCGATCGCAGACTCACACGCACGGTCGGAATGTCGGATGGCGTAAAGATTGACCAGGTAAGGCGGTGACTGAGAGGAAAGCATTGTCTGACTCACTAGGGACCGGTGGTTCTAGGTCGCACCACGTGAAATATCCCAGGCTCTAGGTTGATCATGCGCCGCCGGCAGTAGAAGTCATGGCGGGCTTTAGCTAGGACGGCATGAGCCGGGGCGGAGTGGGTAGAAGCCGGGGCGTTTTCGGCCCAAAGGTGGTAGAACAGGCGAATTCTCGGTGAATATGAGGGAATGGGAGAGCCCGGCCATCACCGCAGGGTGATGCGGCAACGCGGTCGGCAAGCCTAGCGAGGCCGTGCCCCCAAAGTAATACGTGGGTGTCTGCGGGCCCTTGGACGCAAGCGGTAAGTTAGAGGGACGACCTGAGATACTGTTTGCAGGCCTGGGTAGGCTGCCCTTACTCTTTAAGAGTAGGGCTGAGCCTGCTTCTACCAAGTTGGGGCTTAGCCCTATAGGTTATGTTATTGAGCTATCACCAGACGGATCCTGGGATCGAGGCCAGAGCGGAGCAGCGGAGCGGCGGAGGAGCACCATGGAGGAAGCTGAGGGGTTGAGGGTCCCGCGGGACTATCCCCCTTAGCTTTTGCTGGGGGAATCCGGCCGCGGGCCCGTGAGGGTAGGACCGGGTACAAACGGTCCACTCCCCCGTCCGTTTCTTTATGTTTTTTTTTTTTTTTTTTTTTAGTTGTAATTTTTTATTTTTATTTTTATTTTTATTTTTCTACTTTTTTTTTTTTTTGGGAGGAGGCCCGGTGCCGGTGCCGGGACCTGCAGTGCGCCCAACGGCTTAGTTCTACCACGAACTGCCGCCTGGGTACGGTCCTCCGAGACATCCGTTAGAATTGGAATGATACAGGAGCAATGAGCATGGCCATTGCACAAGGGGTGACTCGCAGCCGTGTGTGAGGGGAGCCGAGTGTCGCGACTCGGGCTATAAAGCCGCTCAGCTCACCGGTGGCTGAGCTGCTAGTTCGTATGAAGTCCCGCTGAGACTTGCCCAGAGTCACGGAGGTGAAGAGTTGGGAAGAGTCGGGGCGCTGCGCTGAGCAGAAGGAGGGAGAGTAGGGGTGCGAAGCACGGAAAGTGGGAGTGAATCCGGTGCATGTGGCCACCAAGGAGATGGAAAGATGAAGTAATGAGCTAAAGGCGGGGGAATAGAGAGAAATAGGCAGAGGAAACACAAAGAAGGGGGAGGGATGAATGAGGCGAAATCTCTAGGCCAGATACGTTCGGTGTTGGAGGTGGTGGAGAGCTTGATTGGGCATAGTCGGGGGTGGAATCAGTCGGGGAGAAGAGCGTTTCTACCGTTTTTAGGTGAGGCGAGTCTGATGATGTAGCTAGTTTCGAGGTTAGTTGATTAGAATAGGAGTTAGATGTGAAAGGAGGTGCGTCGGGCTATGGCGGGAGCAAGTACAATAAGGTGAAGAAAACGAGTTCCGTACTCAATTCCCTACGGATTCGAGGAAAGGAGGAGCCTACGTAGGGGTTTTGAGAGTGGGCGACCCCATTTTTTTTGTCAAAATCGAGGGAGAGTAAGTAGGATCTGAGCTATTTGAAAACGGTGCTGCGTGGAGATGGTGGTGAGCATGGTGGAAAAAAAGAAAACTGAAAATCATGTAACTCGCCCATTTCTTGAGAGAAATAAGCGAATGAGGAGTCGATTCCAAGGTTTCGAGGCAAGGCGGAGCTAATGGAGGGGTTGGATTTCACGTAGGATGAACAGGGTAAGCAGTATCTGTGGCATGAGCTGCGCGGCTAAGGTGAGGAGGAAGTGGAAAAGTGACAAGAAGGGCGCAGTGGCTGTCGAGAAACAAGGAAAGGGGAGGCGAATGGAGCAGCGAGAGGGGTGTGGAGACCATGGAGGGAGTGTAGATAGGGAGAAGTAAGATTGAACTAGAGGAGGAACAAGATACTTACGTGGTGTGTGTAGTGCGTCCTAGTCGACCGACGCTGAGTCGCGTTTGGGATTTCAGCCCCCCAGTACGGCGACTCATGTATGGGTTCGATTTTTGGGTGTTTGACCGCGCGTAACCCCCTATGCTACAACGAACGAGAAACGCCCTCGACTGGGACACCTCTGCAATTGCATACGAAAAACTTTCGCATGTGGTTCAGTAGCTCGGCAGGGATACACCCACCTAAGGGATGGTGACAGCTCCCGCAGGTGGAGGTAAGCGGTGCCTCGTGTGACCCTGTCCTGTCGTAGGGGCTCGCGAGAGGTACGGCTGGCGCACTCGGCCGTAGCGGCAAACGCTCTCCGCGACAAGTCGTGCATAATCCTGCGTGACGCGGCCGGGAGAGTCCCTGTGTGGGACCGATGCGCTCGACAAGTGGCGCCGTTGCCGAGGATCTCGGCTGCCTACCGCGGTCTTTAAGAGAACGAACCCAGGTTAAGAGCAGGCTGATGATCCAGGCAAAACAACAATGGTTATAGGTTGGATTGGCTTATATAAGAGGGTTGTATATGAAGTCATAATAAGACTGAGCGATATATAGTGCGACTAAAGGTTGTATCTTCGACGTGAATGACTAATGGTAGAGCGGTTAGCAAAACTTAGAAGTAGAGTGGTCAAGAATGATGTAGGGCAAGCCCTCTGAAACTTGACGAACTGCTTACCGGTCTGTCCCTTGTTACTCTTGTCAGGTTGGCTAACAAAAAGAGGTGAAGATGCCAGACGCCGATGTAATCGAGCGGGGCCCCGCCACTACGCCATAATATTTTGTCAAGGCACTCGAGAAAAGGGGGTTGGCACAGCTACAAGTGCCAAAAATCGACATCTTCCATTTTGAAGGGGAGAGGGTGTCGAAATGGTTGGAGCTCCTGGAACAGGTTACGGCCGAGGTGCCTGAGGTAGATAAGTTCAAGTTCCTACCTCGATATATCTGGTGGGAAACCCGGCCTGAAGTAATGAAGGTGGCTGCTGGAGCAGGGGGAGACTGGGTGAACTTCAAGGCAGAAATGCAGAGGCGATTCAAGCTAGGGGATGACTTGCTGACTAAGACGGATTTGGAGATGCTACAGCGGGATGAGTTTTCCACGGTAGGGGCCTTCGCCACAGCATTCGAGAAGATGGCAAAGAAAGTCCCAGGGTTGGCGGAAGAGGAACAGTGTGCCACTTTCCTGGGGCACTTTGAAAATTGGGAGGCCTCGTCGTTAACCAAGAAGGTTGCACCAGGAAAAAAACTGACTTGGGCCGCCATAAAGGAAGGCGTGATGGAAGGACAATTGGACCAAGTAGACATTTTTCAAATGAGACAAGCCAGGAAGAAGAGGAAGGCTTTGGATGCCACCACGAGTGATGGATGCGATTTCAAGAAGATGATAGAGGACGCGGTGGCCCAGCTCGACGCAGAGAAGGAGGCGAAAAGAAAAACTATGGCGGCACCACAGGCCCAAGGGAAAACCAAGAAGGTAGTGGTGCAGGAGGAAGCAGAAGAGGAAGAGGAAGAGGAGCCTGAGCCACAGAAGTTGACAAAGGCTCAGAGGAAGGCAAGGAACTTGGCTCAGGGGGGGCAAGGCTCAGGGAGGGGTCAGGTCCCGCAAGCTGCAGCCATGCCACCTCCTGAGCCGCCCAGTCCGGCTGCACCAGCACACTATGGACCATGGCCAGGTTATGGACCTTCAAGTCACTGGCATGAGCACTGCTCATATGCACCATGGCCGATGAGTGGGCCGCATGGGTCATGTGCCGGACCGCCGATGAGCACGGCTTCCTGCGGCTGCCCGGGCCCCCAAGCTCAGCAAGTGAGCCACCCAAACCCACCGCCAAGCCAACCTCAACAGTCAGCCCCACAAGGTTCACAAGGCAATCAAGGTGGTGGACGAGGACAAAACCAAGGATGGGGCCGAGGGCGAGGAAATGGTGGCCGGGGAGGAAACGGCAGAGGAAACAGTGATGGAAACTCTACAGGCGGAGGAAATGGGGACTGGACTGCATCCGGAAGTCAGGGTGGTTAAGAAGGTGGAAGAGATGCTGACAGAGGTAGAATAGACTGGAGGAATGCTATTTGTTGGCACTGCGGGGAGAAAGGCCACACTAACAAGTTCTGCCATGTTAGGAGGAACGATGAAGATGAAGGATTAATCAGCACCAACTATGACGGGGATATGTACGACAAATGGGGGTATTACGTTGACCCGAGAACCCCAGGCGGGACAAGGAAGGAAACCCTGCGAAGAGATGAGGCAGGCACGCCACCCGCTCCTCCGGCCATGTTTCGGATATGGCAGGAGAAAGAGGCCCGTAGTGACATCAGGGTGAAAGAGGTAGGAGAGAACGAAGAAGTGGAACAGGAACAGAGAGCTGGCATTATCAAAGAAGAACCAATCATAGTAGAGTCAGACGATGAAATAGAAGAAGACTGCTGGAACAGACCGCGACACGTTGAGACTGGAAAGGATTACTGGAGGACGGCCTGACAGACAATGGAAAGAATGGAGGACCTGATAAACAAAGTCGGGCGGTACCAACAGAAGTTGACTGATATGTGTGAAAAGGTCAAGGAGTGGAAAGGTAAGGAACCACTAGTATACCTCTACGACCTAGGTCCAGGGTCGCAAGGAGGATCTGGTAACTTGCCAAACGTCACGACTTCGGGGTCGGCGCCAAGATCCGGAATGACTTACAGACCGCCCTCCAGGACGGGGAGGGTGCCACATGCTGTCATGACAAGGGCTAAGGGGCCGGTGAGCCCCGAAGAACCGGCGAAGGATGTTCCTGAGCCGAGTGGAGAAAAGGAGGTAGTGAACGTTCCAGAAGAGCATGATGATGAAGATGATAGGTTGAGAAAAGAAGAGGATGAGAAGGTCGAGGACAGGGCCAAGAAGAGAGGTGCCAAGCCTGATACAGACAAGGCACAGGAAGTAAAGAAGAAGAAGTACGCCGTTCGAGTAGAAGAGGGGTACGATGTAGAGGAAATAATGGACAAAATCCTTGAGGGTCATAATCACCTTATGAACCTGAAGGACGTACTAGCCTCAGCGCCAAGGCTCAGGGACGAGTTGAGAGCGCGACTATCCAGGAAGATGGTGGTCAGTGTGCGACTAGGGGCTATAATCCCCAAAGAGGCTGAGTGGGCCGAGACAGGCACGAAAATGGACTGGAAGTCGGTGGCTTGCGATTGCCTTAATGTGGTGGTGAAAGGGAAGACATGCACAACGATGATAGATAGTGCCGCGGAGATGAACCTCATAAAAGAGGAACATGCCGTGCAACTGGGAATGAAGATAGACCGCTCTGACAACGAGGTTTTAATGGGGGCCAACAGTCGGTCGGTGTTCATTGGGACCGCGTCATCAGTGATATTGGAGATTGGAAAGGTGAAGGTCAAAAGTTGTTTTTTCGTGATGCCTGACCTAGACCACCTAATCCTACTGGGTAGGTCATTCCTGAGCCGGACGGAGACGACCATCCTCAACAAACACGACGGAACAAGGTTCCTTGTCCTGTGCGATCTAGTGTGTGGAAACTACGAGGTCATAACTTGCAAGAACACATGGCCCATGAGCATAAGGAACCGGCCCAACCCCGGTTCGTTCATGATTGAAGAATCCAAAGAGGAGAGGTTGAGGATAGAGGGTAGCAAGTTTGAAGAGGTGAGAGAGTCGGAGGCACTGACACTGAGCTTGGCAAACATAGGCGATGCTATGGATATGGTATCAACCTTTGGGATGRCGGACCCAGAGGCTGTAGAAGCCTTCAGAGAAAAGGTGGTAGAACAGATGGGTGCAGGCGAGATGAAACTGGTCTATCAAATACCTGGGAAGACAGGAGGAGCAACTCGGCCTTTTTAGAGGTGGGCTTAAGCAGGGAGCACAAAGGCGGTACAAAAGGGTAGACCAAAAGTGCCGCCCTGTTCCCGTACTCGTCACTGAAGAACAAGAAGTCTATTACGAGCAGGAACGAGAGCTGATATGGCAGATGCGAGAGAGAGCGGAGAATGGGCCATGCCGTAACAATCCCGATACATAAAAAACGCTGATTATAGGGGAGTCTGGCTTCCTCACAGCGCAATAGGAGAAGCTTGTGGTGGAGACTATGAGGGGAAGGCATGCTGCATATGCCTCCAGTGATGATGAGAGGGGCCAACTGGACGTGGATATCATCCCTATGATCAGGATACACACCGTGCCGCACGAGCCATGGAACTTGCAAGGTGCACGGTATCCCAATCCAGCTGATGAAGAGAAGGTAGTCAACTACCTTGATGGGAAAATCCGCACTCATGTGGCAGATTACTCGAGTGGACCGTATGCATCCCCTTGGTTTTGCTTTGTCAAACCCAATGGGACTCTGAGGTGGGTACAGGATTTGCAGTGCCTGAACGCTGTAACAGTGAGGGACGCAGGTGACCTCCCCAACGCCGATGCGCTTTCAGAGGCATGCGTTGGGAGAGTCATTATATCACTCATTGACTTATATTCAGACTATGATCAGTTTCCTGTGTACCCATCGGACAGACCGATGACGACTATGCATACCCCTCGAGGGCTGATCCACATGAACGTTGAGCCGCAAGGATGGACGAACGTGGTCGCCATGGTCCAGCGGCACATGGTGAGGGCGATGCAGCCCATAAGCCCTCACATCACGCAACCATACATTGATGATCTGGCCGTGAAAGGGCCCAAAGAGAAGGATGAGCAGGAGGTGATGCCAGGGATGAGGCGCTTCGTCTGGAACCATGTGCAAGATTTGTGCAAGGTCCTAGACTTGCTGAAGGAGCATAACCTCACTGCCAGTGGATCAAAAGCGAGGCACTGCATGAGCGGGGCCACTATCTTAGGATTTGTGTGCGACGAGAGGGGTCGTCGGCCAGATACTAAGAAGACTAACAAGATTATCGAGTGGCCGACACCGTTCCAGACCATCACAGAGGTGAGGAGCTTTCTGGGAACGTGTGGGTTTTGGAGAATCTTAATTAAGGGGTTTGCGGCAAAGACGGAGCAGTTACGAAAGCTTGTACGTCAGGGACAAAATTGGGAATGGGGAGAAAGGCAAGAATCGGTAATAGAAAATCTAAAGAAAGAGTTTGAAGAAGGAGGTCTAGTACTGGGAGTACCAGACCATGCGGCGGTAATGACCAGGTCTTTCATCGTTGAGACGGATGCAGAGCCGACTGCTTTAGGAGGACTGTTGATCCAGCGAGGCTCCAACGGAGAAGAACGACCATTGAGATTTGAGAGTCGGACGCTCAACACATCGGAGAGAAACTACTCTCAGTTCAAGCGCGAGATCTTGGCAGTTCTTCACTGCTTGAGGATTTTCAGGAACTACCTCTTCGGCAACAGGTTCGTACTAAGGGTGGACGCTACGGCATTGGCTGGTTCCCTCAAGAACTTCGCTCCTTCAGATCCAACTATCGCCAGGTGGCTGACGTACATCTGGATGTTCGACTTCTAGTTTGAGCAAATTCCAGGGAATAAGAATAGGGTAGACGGGTTGAGCCGAGTCGACTGGGGCAAGAACAATCAAGGGGTGATCGAGGATGCTCCGCCAGTCGATGGGTTATTGGACAACGAGGAGGATGTGAGACTTCACATCAACTCCTGGGCATTGGCCGTAGGTAAGTATGTTACTCCTGGACGGCCTGTATGGCTTGCGCCTCCAGGACATGCACGACGGTCAGACTTGGTCCTCAAACCCTATATTGAAGAAAATTTTTGGGGAATGTGGAGCGTAGATTGGATGATGGAGCTGGCCTTGGCAGGCAAGTACCAACTGCATGAGGACTCACCTACGATTGAGGATGGGGTGTTGCAGGTGGGCAAGCAGGAGAAAACGATAGGTGAGGTGTATCTGTTGGCGAATGCGCTGCTTCAGGAAGAGGCGGTCAAGAATACGGTGCTAGATCAGGCATAGGTGATAGAGCTGGGAGAAGGTGACAATGTGATCCATGAGAGGGAGGATGATGACTTTGAGGAAGGGGAGATTAAGGAAGCATTTCGAGCAGAGGAATACGAGGGAGTATACCTTGAACTCGGAATGTTGTTGTCATGTGAGATGAAGGAAAGGTATGCTTGCGCACGAGTCCTGAAGATGAGGCCGAATTTCCTTGTGAGGGATGGTCATCTGTTCATGAGGAGCAAAGGAAGGGATCCCAGGAGAGTAGTCTGTGACGTTGCTCGCCAGATCGACGTTATGGCGGCACTGCACGACGGTACTGCAGGTGGCTACAAAGGTGCAGATACGACTTACCTCAAGATACACGAGATGTACTATTGGGATGGCATGGGGCAGATGACTGATGACTATTGTAAGTCTTGTGTACCATGCCAAGAACGGCTTGCTCTCAGACCTAGAGAGCCGCTGCACCCGAGGTACGTTCATGAGGTTGGAGCGGTCTTGCACCTGGATCTATTGGCAATGCCATTGGGAATAGGGAGCTATAACTTCATCTTTGATGCACGGGACAACCTCTCTGGGTTTGTGGATGGCAGGGCCATTCGCACAAAGACTGACGAGACGCTGGCAAAATGCATCGAAGAATACTACCTTCGCTATCCCTTCGTTTCTAGGTTTGTGATGGATAGGGGGTCCGAATTCACATGTGCGGAAGTAAAGGCTCTATTGAAGAAGTATGGGGTAATTGCCGAATACACCACTGCAGCGCACCCTCAGGCCAATGCACCGGTGGAGAGAGGGCACAACACCATCACAAACCTTCTCGCCAAGTGGACTAACAGCAAGCCCAATCAGTGGCCGAACTTTCTGAGAGTCGCTTTCTTCGTAGACAATATCACCGTCAGGAGAAGCACTGGCTATGCACCGGCCACGTTATGGTATGGCAGGCATGCCACGTTTCCTATCGAGAGCTTCCTAAAGACCTGGAGGCGGCAGGACCTCGAGACTGATCTGACATTTGAAGAACTGCTGGATCTGAGGGCATGTCAGATTGGTGCTATTGAGGACAGGATTGAGGAAGCGGCAAGTAGGACAGCGGACAATCGTACCAAGGACAAGTTCCGGTGGGATAAGATGGCGAGGGTGAGGAAAGAGTCTCTCAAGGTGGGAGACATTGTGCTGTTGTATGACTCGTCCCTGGAGAAGCAGTGGTCTCGGAAGTTAGACAAGAGGTGGTTGGGGCCGTACAGGATCACCAGGTGTGGAGAGCACGGAGGCTACCAGATCGAGGAGTTGAATGAGACGGCATGGAAGGATTGGGTGTCAGGCTCGAGGCTAAAGAAGTTCGTGGCTCGCGACGAGGTGAGCAGGGACATCACCAGTTAGAATCACTCTCTGAGCGCTTCACATAGGAGCATTAGTATAAGTAGAATGTGTAGGACAATGCTCTCAGTAGAATAGCATGACAGATTGTGACTTCTTGATTAGACTCGGGTATGTGTGTTTGCATTTGTATGGATAGGTAGGTAACTGGGATAGTTATGGGGGGGCTATGTCTGTCTTCTGTTGTGTTTTGTCTGACATCGCTTACGCTCTGTGTGCTCCTGTTTGTCTCCTCCTTGTTGTGCAGGCTTGACGCAACTTGGGAAAACCATGCCAAGAGGGAGGGGAGGGGCAGAGCCAGTGGAAACCCCTATGGGGGCAACCCGACAGAGGACGCAGATGAGGACCAGGAGAGAGGACATGCCCCTAGTTTTCCAGGGACGGAACATTGAGCTGTTCCTGATGGATTTCGAGAGGCATACGCGAGAGTTTGGATGGGACAGCACCAGGATGTTGAGGGAGGTGCGAGGTGTAGGCGAGTGGGCATAGCCCATTGCCAACCTGGTCAGGGAGTCGCTGAGCTGGCAAGACTTTGGACGGAGGATGAAAGGTTTACATCCGTCACCGGTGGGGAGAGATGGACAACCCATTCGATTCGACTCCACTAACCTGGGGGAGTTCCTATGGGCCTACGATCGATATGCAGATGAGCTCGATATCCCAGGAGAGCAGAGAGTGGGGAGCTTCCTTCTGTTTGTAAGGCACCATATCAGGCCCTTTGTTCGATCTATCGTCGCATCTGCCATGAATTGGGGGCACTGCAAGAAGCTGCTATGGAACTACTACACTCTAGCTCGTCAGGCAGGTGAGAGGAGAGGCATGGAAAAGAGAAGAAGGGAACCAGAGGCAGAGGAAAGGAGGACCTTTGAGCAAGGCGGGTCGTCAGGGACTCGGAGGGAGGACAGGAGGAAGGAACATAAATCCCACAGGCACGAGAGGACTGGGAGAGCAGTAGGGTCCAGTGGTTCAGATGCACCTTCACAACCTACTCAGAGGGAGATGGATTGCCCTGTGCCTAACGTAGAGCCAGACATGCCTCACGAGCCACATATGCAGGAGCCGAGAGAGGAGCAGTCTGCCTAGGAGAAGGAGATGGACATGAAAGAAAGAGCAGCAAGGGATCAAGAGGTCTGAACCCAGCTCAGGATGAAGAACCTGGCAGCGCTGCATGAGAGGATGCAGCAAGGAAAGGCACCTGAGGAGGTGGAGGAAAGAAATGGTAAAGGTACTTGCACTCAAGAAGAGGACCCTCCTCTGTTTTCACAGGTCTGGATGGGTTTCGACAAGTTGATGGATGCCGCAGGGAGGTCAAGAGAGCATCACCAGGAGATAGGGGTTAAGTTGGTCTACTTAACCTAAGGGGTGTGATGAGAGAAGGCTTCGCTGCGTCCAGAGCTTTAGACCAAAAGATTGGGGACAGGCTGACGAAGCTGGCACAGAAGGCCTATAGCCAGAAAGTGGATTGGGAGAGGGAAGCTGAGGACCTGAAGAAGGAGCTGGGAAGGCAAGGCAAAGAGTTGGAAGCGGTAAAGGCGGAGATGGAGAAGGTTTGGGTTGAGAATGAGACTGTCAGGCAAGTCAATCAGACCCTCAACAGGGTCACTGACGCTCTGAGGGCCTACCTATGCGCCCAACAAATCTCCTTTCAAGCGAAAGAGGCGGAGTGGGAGAAGAGAATTCAAGGCCTCGAGGCCAAGTATGCACATCACGAAAGTGGTGGATTGGGCGGAGGTCCAGAAGTTTGAAATCAAGGAACAACCCGCAGAGGAAGTCTTCAAGAGGGAGAAGAAAGAAGAGAAGGCGGACCAGAAGGAGGGTGAGGAGATCCCTCTGATCGACAAAGAGATATTGGAACAGCCAGGAGCACTAGCGGAGAAGGGCCCAGAGGTCGAAGAGTTTGAGTATCAACGGGCCTGACACTTGGACACGAGCCAACACTACAAGGGGAGGGACCGCCTGCTGAGGCAGTGAGAGCTGAGGAAGTTCCACCTACAACTCAGGGAGAGACGTTGGGACAGCAGGGGGGTCAGGAGAGCGTGGGCCAGACCATGGCTGAGACTGAGCAGAGAGCGGACATGAAGGATTGTCAGGAGTCAACTATGCCTCAGGAGGTGCCGGTTACTGCAGATTTGCGGGACGCATTGGGATCTTGGGCCACTGAGGCAGAGCCAGAGGGGCATGAGGGTGAGCATGTGATACGAGCAGATGACAGAGCAGCCTGCCCCACTTCCGTAGAGGTCCCCCAACAGGAGGTTACAAGCAGGATCTCGACAGTCTTGTCAGTAGTACCCTCGTTGGAAGGAGAGAAAATGTCACAGAAGAAGCTGGGGAAATATTTCTACTGCAAGAAGGGCAAACATCGGTCTGATGATTGCCCCAAGAGCCTCAAGGACGAGGCAAATGGATTGTGTACTAGGGAGTCATCTGGAGTATGAAGAAACAGAAATGAGATCCTAGTTCCTAAGACTCGTGATGGGGTGAGGGCGCAGTTGTATAGGCAGATGCAGGAGGTCATGAGTGATCAGGAGTAGGATTCTCCAATAAGGTCCGGAAAGGTCTAAGTCTAACATATGAGAGGCTTCTCTGACTCTCAGACTGATGGTTACTTGTATATAGGGGGATACATGGAGGATTAGATCAGACCCATGTACGTCAGCGAGTTGAGCCAGTAGTGAGATGTTACATCGCATTATAGACTTAAGAACCTTATCTGTATATAAGATAACACCGACTCTGAATAAATTTCCTTTCTTCGCTAATGAGATGTAGAGTGTTAATACCCTTGTAACGCAATACTCATGAGTGTGGAGCGACTGTCACTATGACGCTTGGATACCATAATTTTTTGGGTACTCGTACATTTTGTATAATAACTTTGATTTCTGTGATGAGGACGGGAGCCCTTGCTCATTGCGGGCCCCCATGTCCTGAGTATATATGTAAGTCTCAAACCTTAACTTTGTGTTGTGTGTGTTGTGTCACACTCACTCTCAGTTGTGGATTCGCCCGTATGGATGGTGGTGTGATGAGATGGATATTGTGGAGTGAGATGATCTGTGCTTTCTTCCACTATACGTACGCCTCCCTGTTCCAATGACAAGTGGAGCCGAAAGTATAAGGGAAGTGAGTGCTCTTAGATCATTGAGTAAGTGATGACACTGGCATTATATGTTTTGTTCAGATGGAATGATGTTGAATGGAGAGATCACAACAAAAATTGTGTTTTTTGTGTACGGCTCAGAAAAAAAGAAGGAAGTCCAATGGTCGATTGGACTTTCTTAAAGAGATGAAATTTTGTGAGAGCATTCCAAAGAATCGCTATAGTGATGCTAAAGGTTTTCGTGTATGTAAAAGTCTGACGAGGAAAGACCAGATATTTTGTGAGAATGATGGATGAAAACTTCTGGCAATTATGATGAAACTTTTGAAAGTATTGTGAGTATCCCTAAAAGACGCGTGACCTTACCTGCTTTTGATCAAAGTAAGGAAGGCACGACCCTGTGGAATTAATGAGGATATTTGTTGGAATGGTTGAGAAAGACACTACTCCCCCACGTAGTCCTGTGGGCAGCGGTATGCGACCCTTTGAAGACTTTTCGGAAGAAAGTGTCAGACCACATTGGAGTCAGTCCAAGGGACGTATTGTGAGGCCAAGCTAAGGGGCTATACTTAGCATCGCTGGAACTGTAGAACCTAACTTCCAACGAGGGCCGCTAACCGGCACCACCTGGCAGCGGGACCAAGGCTTACCAAAGGCTAAGTCTTGAAACGTCGGCCAACCGAAGAGGTTTAACTGGAGGAAAAGTCATTGGGGTCGATTAGGTTAAGAGTCAGGACCCTTTCTGGGTGCCAAGATAGGAGAATTGCTTATCGTTGAGTAACCAATGAGGGCACCATCGCTACATAACAACGCGGTGGGCCGTGGATTCGGCGTGATCGACCGGTCCATGGTGGGCCAAGATGGAGACCTGAAGCCGCCTGTGTTAGACTCCAGGCTGGGCGTTTGTTGTGATTTGAGATGGTAGACACTACCATGTGGGCGGCTAAAGGCGCCCTGTATTTTGAGAGGTCTCGGTAAGGGCCCGCGTCCTAAGTTATGACCCCGTCCACGGGACGATGACTAAACAGGACACCCAACGGTGAGCCGGCGGATGTCTACGACAAAGAGAGAGGGCTATCAACCTACTACCAAGGAGCGGGTAGTACGCTGTAGTACGGAACAAAGTATCCCCTAGCTCCGAGGCAAGGACGTGGGAGACCCAGGTTAAAACCCTGGCAGTCGTGACGGGAGCAGGTTGATAAGAGAACCTCAAATGGCGTCGAGCCGGTGAATTCCATTGGTCATTTCCTTGTCAGCAAGATGTGGTTGTGCTTATAGCTTTGATTGTCCGACGCGACGGGGACGTCGCTTAATAAGGTCCGGAAAACTGTCGGCCCGAATACCCTTACAAGGGTATTCGGGCACATTTTTGCAGCTTACAGGAAAAGCGCGCCGGACGATATCTGAGGGTGCGTCCCATTTGTGTTGGTTAGAGAGTATGTGGGCATGCACTTTGTGGGCACGAGTTAGCCTGACCGAGTCTAGATTGGGGAAGACCATGAGACACCGGTAGGACAAGTCAGAGTTAAGCTAGATTTTCTGAGGCGGTCGCAGACTCACACGCACGGTCGGGATGTCGGACGGCGTAAAGATTGACCAGGCAAGGCGATGACTGACTCACTGGGGACCGGCGGTTCTGGGTCGCACCACGTGAAATGTCGCAGGCACTAGGTTGATCATGCGCCGTCGGCAGTAGAAGCCATGGCGAGCTTTAGCTAGGACGGGGTGAGTCGGGGCGGAGTGGGTAGAAGCCGGGGCGTTTTCGGCCCAAAGGTGGTAGAACAAGCGAATTCTCGGTGAATATGAGGGAATAGGAGAGCCCGGCCATAGCCGCATCGTGATGTGGCAACGCGCTTGGCAAGCCTAGCGAGGCCGTGCCCCCAAAGTAATACGTGGGTGCCTGCGGGGCCTTGGACGCAAGCGGTAAGTTAGAGGGACGGCCTGAGATACTGTTTGCAGGCCT